TCATTCATTCATTGTCATTTTCATTTAAACGATCGGAATCTGAGAAATTCCACTTAGGAAGCTGAAAATAATAAATAGCTAACTTGTACCGCAGATTTCAACTCATTAAAAATATCCGTAACAGTAATTGTAAATTATTAAAACAGAAATCCATCACATAGAACCGATAATTCATTTTTTTTTTGTTTTCAAGTCAAAAATTAATCTAAAATGAAAAAAAATTTTTTTCGTCACCAATGATGAAGTTTAAATGACTGCCAGAAAGAAGTTAATAAAAACAAAATTCAAATATCTATCGAATTGCGGGTTCAAAAGTAAACAGTAATAATTCACGTTAACGTGAAGTTAAAAATTTGCCTCTAACAAATGACTTTAGCGTGCATTAGTCTTGACAAGATAAAAATTAATTGAAAATTTCTTCTAAGATTTATGCTCAGCTATTTATCTAAGGCTTATCAAAAGCTGTCCCAATCAATATTCTTGTGTTGATAAATCTCGGTATAAATTCAATTTATCATATGCACATATATAAATAATGAACTATAGTTAAAGCTAATAAATTACTTTCACGATAGTATTATTGGGATTTGAAAAAAATATATAATGTCAATATGCATATGAATAATCTCGCAAAAGTTATTTTAGCAAATGAAAGTTCCCGATGATTGAATGGTTTTCCCTGCGTGTCATCTTTGATTTGCTAATATGACAATGTTGCAATTTGCAGATGTTGCAATTTATTCCTTTGTTAGCACTCTCCATTAGCTTCTCCAATGCTCAACATGAGAATGATCCGGATGTAAAGATAAATTCATACATTGAGTTCCCGAGATTTTGAATTTATCTTTCAAAAAAGAAATTGATATCTTCAGGCTGTGATAAATGATTCAATGATGAAAAAGACAAGTATATGAAAGGTGAAAAATTGTGGAAATTACAAAAATTGTGTTACTAAAACCTTTGTACTTACAGGAAAATAATAAGTGCAAAGGTTTTAGTAACAGAAAATGCTATATCACATCACATTGATTCTTACTCCAACAATTTGTAAAAAGGTGCATTTCAGTTATTTAATTACATCGGTATATTTTGCAAGCATAAAGGGTATGATGCTTGCACAAACTTTTTTCGAACAGACTTCTCATCTCCGTTAACGAGGATTCTGAATGAATGCAAGAAAAATTACATTTAATTAGAATTGCAATTACTTAAAATATTTATTATATTCTAAAGCTTTTCTGAAACGTAAATATAATTGCAAAAAGTGTGCTACAAAAAAAAAGTCCTCAAAGACTTTTAATCATATTGCCTTTTTTCTGTTTCTTTGCAGAATCAAAAAGTTATGAATCTGGTGAAATGTCAAGTGGGCAAAAAATTAAAAGAAAAGGTATGGTAATTTTTTCACAGAAGAAAAAATCAAGCATTAATATTAACCTTCGAAATTGTTATTACTTGCTGTGGTGAATTTTTATTTTAATTTTGGGAAAGATTTAGTTTGGCATACTGGAATAGTAATGTGGAGTTATTTTATTTGATGGAAAGTTTTAATTTTTCTTGATGGTATGATACAATTATTAGAAAATATCGTTTATTGAGTCAATTACGTGTAGGTATTTTTTGTGGTGAAATTGAAATTGAGAACTAATTTTTGTGACGGAGTCTGTCTTTTATAATCGATTAGGCATCAAGAATTAAGAGAATAGTAGCTACTTTATCATAATCA